TTTTCATCCTTTGTTTCTCTAAGTTACCCCGTTGAAGACTGCTAGATCCATTTTTGACACACCCAGAGGTTTCTCCCATCCAACCTTTGGTAGCCGCAACACGGGCTTCTTTCCTGAACAGCAGCGGCTGGTAATCGATCCTATTCCGTTGTAAGTGATATCTTTTAGAGGTCAAATAAAGTTCGAGCCACATCCAGATTGATCTCCCTTAGGGGTTTAGTTAAAATTTTCCGATGAGCTTCCCCGACCTTTTCATATGGGAGTTTCCACCCGGAAAACATGTCGCGTGCCACAACATCGGTTAAGCATGCACCTGACCATGCCAAGCGCGCAAGAAAGCAATATAAAGTTATTTTCTGACGTTTAGGGAAGATCGACCGATCTTTTCGCTGCGAGAAACCAGAAAAATCCAATTTGTTGGTTTTAAGATTGATGCGTGGTGTGCGAAATGAGCATCTCGGTACCCATACATAATAAAGAGATGAGAAACTGCTCCTTAACCATAAATTTATTTCCTCATATATGCAAGGTTTATCTTTTGATTGTCTTTCACAACAGCTTTTTTAACTCTTAACATTTAGTACTACAAATCCTATGTCTCGTTATGACATTAGCTGCTTTTCATTTAGGGCAGGCTGTGTTTAGGCGGTGGGGAACTCCCCAGACCCCGACCCCACCGGCTCGGAAGGAGGTGCGTTGGGGCGAGAGCATCGGTGAATGCCAACGGCGACTTTTTTACACTCCAGACCATCTTGGCAACGGGAGTAGCATGTCTGAGATTAAAAATAAAATAATCAAGACATCGAAGCGTTTGAAGAATGACAATAAAAGTTGATTATACATTGTTCGAGGCTAGTCTGATGTAGTGCTTTCGGATCGCCCGGCTAAGGAACTCTTCAGAGACCTTTCTGCTTGGCAAACTGGTTGTGCATCGCGCATTTTCAATCGTGAATCTGTGTTGTAGGGAATCCTTATGCGGTATAGGGCGAGATTAATGTCTTTGTCATTTTGTTAGCGAACAGGACTTTGAGCGCGATGTCAACGAGTTTGCCAAGGAGAAAGGTCTCTGAAGAGTCACTTGACAGAGAAAGCGCTGGGTCAGACTAACAAACAATGAATTATCATTAAGGTGTTTGACGATATTTCCTGTTTTGCTTTCCTACACGTTTTATAACTAAGAGATTTAGTTCTACCTTCGTTTATTTATGCAAAGGGTAAAGCCTGGTTTTCACTTGCGACCCAAGCACAAGCGCCAGCACAAACGCAAGCAATAGGGATGACCCAACTGAAAACGAAATTCGACGCAAACACAAGCACAAGCAAAATCATCCGAACCTTCCGCCATTTTGGAAAACTGTGTAGGCGCGAGGTAATCTGGATTCAGCGTTTTCATTGGCCAAACATAACCATTTGTGGTAAATATCCTTGTGCTTGTGTTATGCCTGAGGGGTATTTCGTTTTCACTTGTTGCAGCGCAAACGCAAGCATAAGCGAAAGCACGAGAAAAAGGAAACATTTTGATCCTTATGCTTGTACTTGCGCTTGTGCTTATGTCTGCGTCAAGGCCGTTTCCACGGTGAAATAAGAATTATTGTGTTTGCGCTTGCGCTTGAGCTTGCGTCGCTAGTGAAAACAAGGCTTAAGTACGTAGTGGTTGTGCATACGGTCTTCAAGCTTATTCTGATTTTAACACAAATTAAATTGTTATGCTATAAGTAAATCGTTACGTCATTAAGACGTGTTGTCATTTGTCAAGTGGTCACAATAGAATTATAAGTATAAAAATTGCGCCATTTTGTCATCCAATCAAGAGAAAAACCAAAACCAATCATGACACGTCCGTACACGTTTTCCCACATGTATTTACTTCTTGTTTTGATTGGTTCACTGGACTGCTGTGCCCTTTTGGGCTCGTCAGAGTGATTATTTTGGTTTTGGTTTCACGGTACTCATTTACGAACTGCCCTATAAGCTAATCGTTCGTATTTTTAGGAGAATATTTGTTTACAACGTTTGCCTCATTAGCAGAAGCGATACAGTTTCTGATAGAGCTACAAAAACATTAGTTCTGAATATTGAAAGGGCACAGCAAGATTAAATGTCCCTAGGACTTTGAGCCTGATGTATTGAATACTTTTTGGGTTACGCGGGATCAAAAACTCAAAATTTTACAAAGACATGTATGAGCTCATTAGCGCTTTGCCACCCAGAAATTTTGCAGTTATTCAAAGCCAATTTCTTCCCGAATATTACACCCAAAGAACCAAACATTTCATCAGTTACTAATATTAACAAGCTTTTTAACTCTTTTTGGTCAATTCGTGTCTAGTGCAATGCCTTCTCTGCGCAAAATCAGATGTTAATGGGGAAATATAGAAACAATCACGTCAGAAAAGATTGCTATTATGGGGAAATACTTACAGAGAGTGGACTGCACCATTCGCCTTCCTCTTTTTTTGGAATGCACTGGGCAAACGTATTGAAGCAACATTCTCCCTCGTCACATTCATCATCTCCCGTACACTGGAAAAAGATTACAACGACAACAAGGCTCTTGTTAAAGGAGGTTTGTCACTGTCTGGACATCTTGAAAATCTTCTCAATCCTAGCTTAACTATCCTTGTTCCTTTATGGTTTATCATTATCTTTTTGGTATTTTTCCATCTTGGTAAACTACTAATTTCAGGTTTCCTTAAGTTTAAAGGAAATTTTGTACTTGGCCAAGAAAATGAATTCAAAATATTGTAGTATTTATCCAGTCGTAGCATTCGTATCGATCTTACTTACAATTATCGCCTTCCTTCTTCGAGAGCTTCTTCGAAATTCCGAAAATCTTCAAAAATTGTTTACAATTTCATCCTTGTTTTAATAATTATCATATTTTTAAAGAGAAATAAAAGCAAGCATTTTCCTTGCTGGTTTTGTATCCTTGTGTAAATATCAATTTAATTGTTCCTTCCCCATTTATAGCACGTAACTAAAGATTCGCGTCAGCGTTTCCGAGGTACTTCCCTTTCACCCGCCCACAAGAGAAAAACTGCCCTTTGGAAGTCTTTATGGTGAAGAAAATTTCCTAAAGCTTCCGCATTCGATGAAACATTTTTCAGTAGTGTCGAGGAAAAGGAGACGCGTATCAAATTAAAAAGAGGGGCATGCAATTGAAAAAATAAATGCAAAAGGGGACTTTGCCATCCGATTAGAAACCCAACTCATGCGAAAGAGCCAACTGAATCAAACTGGAATTTCTCGCCGAGAGATAAACTGATCAAGATAACTGGGACATAAATCTGATGTTTTTTCCCGAAAAAAGAGGGAAAACAACAATGGATGGTTGCATTCATGCATCGTTAAAGCGGTTGTTCGTAACTGATGTAAAATGAGAGTTTTATTTAAAAAAATGATTTGGTTTTGTGTATTTAAATCTTTGTTGATCCGTTCTTTTAAATCTCGTAAAATAACTGTGGATATCGAGGCACTTAATTTAATTCAAGCAAAAATTGAGTCATGGCAAAAAGCGACAAGGACAGATTGCTAAAGTCACAAATGAAACAGAAAGACTTGCCTCTGTTTTGATATCGATTTCGGATTCGTCTTCCAAGACGTTTGTAGTCTCTCCTCTCCAAAAAGATTCAACTGCGATGGCGAACGCCAGGCAAAGAAACACCGCGAATTTCATGTTGCTCCTTGTGCTGCACCAGAATCCAATGTGGATTGCACGAAGGGTTTTTCTTTAAATCAGAAATCAAAAGCTCAGAAATCATAAGACACTCAAGCAAAGTAAACAAAATGTCCATTGGCGGCGCTAAACAAAGTGAAAAACAGGCATGTGTAAATGCTATCTCAAACAGTGTCAAACCGTTCACTTTATGTCACGTTAGAAATACTTAGCACAACAAGCCTGTGAGGACTCTAATAAAGATGATAGCAAATATAATTACAGACTTGATTTGTTTCTTAATTTTTCGCACTGAATATCCGTTGCTGCATTCGTAGCTTTTTTGTCGGGCGAAAATTATATGATCTGGTAAAAAGGCCTGATATCAGTTGATAAGCAAACAAAAAAGTTCATTTTTAAATGCTTTTAAGCTTGTTAATTAATTTGAAAAGATAGGTAAATAGTTGAGGAAGCTGGGGGGTTCCCACGGTTCTGTCTGGCAATCGATCTTGAGTGGCATTTTGAAGGTGTCCCTTAGCTTGAAACATCCTTGGTAGAGATGACAACTAATAAAGAAAACATAATTATTCCGTGTTTCTATCGCGTTTAGGAGAACGAGAAATGCTTGCTTCCACAGCTTTTTTGAGTTCTCCCAAACTTTCATGAGTGTCTCTATGACTCGATAGAAACACTTACAACATGTTTTCTATTTCTTTTTGCAAAAACCACCACGAAAAAGAAGAAAACAACTTGTAGTTTACTTTAATCATCAAAATGTAAATTCTCTTTGCTCGCGCCATCATCACGTTAAGAGCTCGTGCTAGTTCTGTGTCTCATTTTTAACCAATCAGCGTAGGTATTATTTTGGGGGCCATTTTCTAAATCAAACTACTCTTGTATCATGGTGTTGTTTACTTTGCGTATCTTAATACTTTTACTCGAACTAAGAATAAAGTAGTTTTATATTTCGAGTATTAGAAAGGTTTAGACGCGATAGTTTTTGTTGATTTTAGTAACTAAAGTGGTGCCATATTCGAAAGTATGTTGTTCGGTATAGAGCATATTCACTCACGTGTCCAGCAGCCATGCAAATTTATTTGAACAAAAGGAAGTGTTTACATAAGAAAAGAGTTCAACTCCCTAAAGATTGGTTTGGTACACCACCATGGCCGCCGGTTCACTGTTTAAAAACACCAATATGGCTGCCATGATGTCATGTGAATCGAACTATTGGTTTCGAATCCGTGGCAGACAGAGTTGAGTTGACAGAGCATCTGGGGGGCAAAAATCTATTAGTTCAATTGATTTCGTGTCTTTATGTATTTAACCACCTGGAGCAGTAAATGAAAGATTTTAATGGAATCGTTTTAAAAATTGTCTAAGATTTCACGAATGTGTGCTGACTAGTGAAGAGGCAATTAGAGTAAAGTACTTTATTCGTCATCAAGCAAGGCAACCTTTTCAGCTCCGCCGTGATCGCAAAACTGTTTCTTCTTTCATTTCTGAAGACTGGTTTTTGAACAAGATACTATATCTTCAAGAGGATAATTTCTCAGGTCTATTTTATTCTCCAGTTCCGGCAATTGAGAATGATCTAAGAAACCATTCCCACTGCCCTATTATTATTTTCTGAAGCATATTTTGAGCCTTAGTTTCGTAACATGCCCGACTTGTTATATCTCTCACGCTTTCGTGGCCTCGCACTGCTTGACTGTTACGGCAAGATTTTTCGCTTATTGTTGTTCAGCAACTTCACTGTAAAACAACAAGCTTACATGCGGTAAAATTATTTTCTTAGATCATTCTCTCTTAATTTCGTGTTTCAGATGGGACGGGGAAGGGATGGAAGCGGGTAGGGTTTTAGAGGTTTGAATGCTTAAGTTTAAGGTGGCTCGCTATAGTTTTACGATCGCGCGCTCAAAGGAAAACGTCAATGTTTTTATTTCTCGATATTTTATGACATCAACATGAGCACAAAAAGTAAAACTGACAGTAAATTTTCTCGCGTTTCGTCGGTGAAATCCTGTGAAATTTGGCAGACTGGTAAAATCTCTTCTACCTCAGCTCGTTTTCCAATTTAATCTATAAGAGAGATTTCCGCAGCATGTAAAGACAAAAATTTGCAAAAATCCAAAAAAAAAAAAGAAAAACCTGCCTGTACAAAACCTACTGTTTTCGTATTCCACTGAATTCGATCAACTGTGAAAATTTTGGAAGATTTCACCGAGGGAAATTCAAGAATATCACAAGTAAAACCATATAAACGGTTAAAAACGCAGTTTTTGCATTTATAATTCAAAACTAAAAGCCAAGATTTTAACAGAGATGATAGCAAAACACTATTTAATCATTGCCTATTACATGTAATAAGTTTGAGAAGACTAGGTCAGGTTAAACGAATGCAAAAACAGCATTCAAAATATAACATAAGCGCGAGCAACGCGATAAATGATTACCGTACGTATGGAGCCACCTTGACAGCTTTCACAAATAGTCGGTAATGAAATTATAAACAGCTTCATTTGATCCTTAATTAGACGGCTGATACCTGCATGGACTTTTCACGAAAAAAGAGGCAAGACAAAGAAGCGAGCAAGACAAGTCAAACTGAACCTTAAATAGCTTTCATGATGGCGTGCACTCACTTCATTATGCTCTTACACGTTTGTTAAATATCTAAATATAAAGTGACAGTTTGACACACTCTGTCTGAAATGATACTGACACTCCTGTGTCAGTTCAATAGCATTACGTGGCTTTTTCAGAAGAGAACTTAATACTATGGCACCATTTGATTTGGTTTTTAAATCACATGCACACTTTATTGTGAGTGTTTGCTTTTCAACGTCACTTACGGCGCCTTTCAATAACATGCGGACTCTAAAATTCAAAGCTCAACCAACAAATGCGTTTTTCGCTACTGTCAATGAAAAGTTCGGCGGGTCCTCCCAGCTTCCGACTATTGCCGAACACTGTTTCGTTTTCTGAATTGTGCTCAACGATTCGATTACCGCACGCTCGGCAGTAGTCGGAAGCTAAGAGGAGCCGCCGAACACTTGATTGACGTTAGCGAAAAATGCATTTATCAGTTGAGCTTTGAATTCTAGAGTCCGCATTTCATTGAAAGGCGCAGTAAATAATCAAAACAGGGGACCTTGTGCTTGAAAATGGATACCTTCTCAAATACTTCCTATAATGGTAATTTTTGAAACGCGTGTTCTAACGTTTTAGTGTGAGTGGTTAAAACTGAATTTGGGAGAACTGCGAAGTTTATTCGTGTAATCAGGAACTGCGGAATCGATCAATGCTTGTTAAGCTCAGACAGACACGTTCTCGGAGAGTTTGAAAATCCTAGCAGTATGGAGAAAAACGTACAGGAAAACAAAACTAGCAAGGAAAGTGTTTACTTTAATGCCAACTTTTGATAATCATCAGAAAATCCGAGAAACACTTAAAGACGATGGGGAAGAATGCCGAATATGCTTGACTTGTTCGGACGGCATAATGCCTGAATTTAACGGATAATACGCTTTAAGAATGTCAAAAGGAAATATTTTTCCGTCAGTTAAGACAATGACGCTCAGGCAGAGAATGATCTTTTTCCTTCCGGTACGGCGTAAAAAAGGAGAGCACAAGCTCTGCTATCCAAAAGCTGTAAGTATTGACAGAAAGACACCGCGGAAAAAATTACGACAAGTTTATGATTCCTTTTCCGACATCTGTGATCATCCGAAGGATATGGCCCCTACGATACCTCAACCTCCTCCCCAGTCTCTTCTTCAGACGCATTGCACTTTTGCTACGAACGAGTTCGAAGCGAGACCGATCATTAACGAGCACGAAGCGCTAGGGACCATGGGAAAAGGAAAGAAGAGGAAAAAGTGTGTCTTTCCTCTTGTGGTCTTCGCTTTCTCCTCTGCGCTCCCATTTTTTAAGATAGGCTTCTGGGTAGAATGATACCCTCTAGGTTGTTTCAGCAAGAATCGACCGGTCGATAGATACGTCCTGTTCTTGTATTTCCATAGAGTAGCGATCAACCGACGGTTATTACAATTTGTGACCTTCTGGTAATTCCCGTAAGAAGTAACTTTCCAAATGCGTCAGCGTATTACCCCTCTGTTTAACTTCCTACCATTGCATGTATCAGAAAATCAAACAGAAAATATGTTGGTTTCGAAAGTCAGAAGTGTCTAAAATTTACCAATTGTGTGACGCAGAATTTGCTCACATGGACAACTCAAGCGGCTTAGCACGCATCGTCATCCTGCACGAAGGCATCCGCGCAATGCGCGTGCTAACATCATCCGTGAAAGACCTGTTTCTATGTCTAAAAATAACTACCGTACGAACACGGCTCTTTTGAGGTATTAAATTTTTTAATCTTCATTTTTTCTTGACAAATAAATTGTAAATCAGTAAAGAGATGGAGATAGTTCTCGATCCACATCAAT